AGAATTCTGTATACTTATGCTATGATATTAGAGGGGAAATCTGGATGCAATTCTGTATATACAGGTGACCAAAATTTCAAAAATAAAATTCTGTGTATACATGGAATAAAGCCTGGAGGAACACAACACATAATTTTGACAGTGGGTTCTTCTAAGTTGATTTTACTTTTCTTCTTGATAATTTTTTTAAGTTTTCCATAAATTTTTCTTTTAAAAGATGTACAATGTATACTCAGTAGTGAGACACTGAAAGTATTTCCTCCTTAGATAAGGAACAAGACAAGGATGCCCACTCTCACTACTTTTACTCAACATAGTATTTGAAGTCCTAGCCACAGCAATCAGACAAGAAAGAGAAGTAAAAGGAATCCAAACTGGAAAGGAAGAAGTAAAGCTGTAACTGTTTGCAGATGACATGATATTATATATAGAAAATCCTAAAGACACTACCAAAAAACTACTAGAACTCATCAATAAATTTGGTAAAGTTGGAGGCTACGAAATTAATATACAGAAATCTGTCACATTTCTACACACTAACAACAAATTATCAAAAAGAGAAATTAAAAAACAATGCCATTTACAATCTCATTGAAAAGGATGCAATACCTAGAAATAAATCTTTCTAAGGAGATAAAAGATCTGTACTCGGAAAACTATAAGACACTGATGAAAGAAATTGAAGATGACACAAACAATGGAAAGATATACCATGCTCATGGATTGAAAGAATTAATTTTGTTATAATGATCATACTGCCCAAGGCAATCTATAGAGTCAATGCAATCCCTATAAAAATACCAAAGGATTTTTCACAGAACTAGAACTAATAATTATAAAATTTGTACAGAAACACAAAATATCCTGAATAGTTAAAACAATCTTGAGAAAGAAAAATATAGTGGTGGTATCACACTGCCTGGCTTCAGACTATAATGCAAAGCTACAGTAATCAAAACAGCATGGTAATGGCACAAAATCAGACACATAAATCAATGAAACAGAACAGAGAGGCCAGAAATGAACTTACACTTGCTTAGTCAATTAATCTATGACAAAGGAGGCAAGAATATACAATGAGGAAAAGACAGCATTTTTGAAAAATGTGTTGGGAACAAGGGAAAGCTACATGCAGAAGAATCAACTGGACTCCTTTCTCTCACCACACACAAAAATAAATTCAAAATGGATTAAAGACTTAAGTGTAAGTCCTGAAACCATAAAAGAAGAAAACATAGGCACTTTGACATCAGTCTTTTTGGATACGTCTCCTCAGGCAAGGTAAATAAAAACAAAGATAAACAAATGGGACTACATCAAACTAAAAAGCTTTTGCATGGCAAAGGAATCGCCTATCAACAAGATAAAAGGGCTGCCTATGGAATGGGAGAAGATATTTGCAAATGATATATCCAACAAGGGGTTCACATCTTTATGTGTCCTTCCAAATATAGAAGTCTGGAATGAATGATCTCCAGGGTATCCTGCTGAGGCCTGGAATCTTCTATCCCTTCAAACATCAAAAACAAACAAACAGAGGCTCTTCCTCTGAGGGAAAGGAGCACTCAGGCTTCCAGAGGATGGGAGAAATATTTTACTTTAATTCCCTCCAGGTGGGTCTACAGCAATGAAAACAAACTGTAGGGCAAATATCAGTGGATCTCTATTCTACATTAAATTATAAATAAATCTCTGTGCCACACATGTATTTTAGGGCTGAATTGTGTCCCCCTAAAATACTTATGTTGAAGCCTAACTTCCAGGATCTCATAATGGGACCTTACTTGGACACAGGATCTTTAAAGAAATAATTAAGTCAAGATGAGGTCATTAGGCTGTGCCCTAATCCAGTGTGTCTGGTGTCTTTATAAGAAGAGGCGATTAGGACACAGACACGCACAGAAGGAAGATCACGTGGAGACACAGGGAGAAGACAAAACTCTGCAAACCCAAGGAGAGAGGCCTTAGAAGGAATGGATCCTTCTGACACGTGGATCTCAGACTTCCAGCCTCCAGAACGCTGAGAAAATACATTTCTGTTGTTTCAGCTCCTCATTCGGTGGTACGTTGTTATGGCAGCCGTAGCAAGCTGGCAAACTAATAAACATGATTTCTGAGCATAAGGCAGGTGCTGTAGCAGATTCATAAACACTTGTGGATTTGTGATTATAGATTAATAACAGTAGGATTTAGCTTAAGGAGTAGGGACTTTAGGCTGGGCTTTTGAATTTTAATTCTTTTAATTCCTTCATTGTCTGCCTGGCCTGGTATCTGCCTGGTAACTTCTCTAGTCCTTGGATTCCTTGTTTACGCAATGAAAGGGTCTGACTAGATTATCTTTAAGCAATCAGTTTCCGAATCCACGCTTGATACAATTGTTAGAAATCCCTGAGTCACTCCATCCCAGCTTTTACGCAGTATGCTTTGTGCAACACTGGAACTTAAAGATAATGGGCACCTCTCCAAAAAGAGGGCAAAGAAATTTGGGAAATTCTGTTTTTTATATCCCACTTTTGGAAAGACCCATTAGCATCTTAAATAATCTTAAAAAAAAAAAAAAAGCCCTACAGGAAAGAAAACCGTTGGTTTAACAAAGCATTTCCTAAGTTTATGGGAGCCCAGGGCACTTTTTCCAAGCCTGCGACATTTATAAACATCCCAATGATACAGGAAAAATTGGCGGCAAGGGGATGGCCATGTCCCAGATCTCAGCTGAATCCCTCAGACATGCCCCGCCAAGGGTGGGTCCTTGGCTCCATGCAGGAAAGAATTCAGAAGCGAGCCACAGTTGAGCAGAGGTAGATTTATTTAGAGAGATACATACTGCATAGCGTGCAGGCTGTTTCAGAAGGCGAGAGAAAGGCCTCGAGGTGTGGGGGTTGGGTGCTCAGGTTAAAGTAAAAGTAGGTCCACACTCCATAGACAGAGTGCAGGCCATCTCACTCAGAAGGGAGAGCGGCCACGAGGTATGGGGGCTGTTAGCTTTTATGGGCTTGGTAGCTTCATACGTTAACAAGTGGGAGGATTATTCCAGCCACTGTGGGGGAAGAGGCTGGGATTTCCAGGAATGGGCCACCGTCCACTTTTTGACCTTCTATGGCCAGCCTCAGAACTGTCATGGTGCCTGTGGGAGTGCCATTCACCATGCTAATATATTACAATGAGCATATAATGAGGCTCAAGGCCTGCTGGGAGTCAAATCTCCTGCCATCTTGGTGTTAATTGCTGTGTCATTCCTTGAGTGGCTGTGCCCTGCCCCCTTCCCTCCTGTCTCACCAAGGTGATAATATTCCACAGATCTTGCTTGGACAATGCTAAGCTGTCACTTCACGACGTTAAAAGAGAATAATCCTGACACACTTGATTCAGGAGACTTGCAATACGGGTTGATTTTATTGCAACAGGGGAAAAGGATTGGGCTCACCCCCGAACACAGCAAGGATAAGTTCTGTCATAGCAAAGGAGCAAAACGGGAGGGTCAGTGGATGCAAAATTACCAACAGGGGACATTGAAAGTTGGGGCATCTTGCTAAGCCTGAAACGGAGCAGGACCCTGCAGGGTCCTCCCTGGTACAAACCCTTTCCCAGTTCCCCGTTTCTCTTACGTAGGAAATAAGTTTCATTCAGCCTCCTGAGTTCCAAAGGGCAGGTTCAGACAGTTGCTAATCAGGGAAGGGAGGGAGTGCAGAGATAAGGGAGGAACTCAAGAAACGCGAGTGCAGCCCAGAGGCAGGGTCCTGGCTCCTCCTCAAGGGATGTAACTGTGCCTTTGGTTCTTCTGCAGGACCCAAGGCCCCACCCAGGCGGAGGATGGCAACTTCCAACTGAGCACACTTCCTAGAGCACCGCCCCGTTACCTCCCCACCAACCAATCAGAGGAGAGTCACACACCTTGCAGCCCTCACCCCAAATTCTGCCTTTAAAATCTTCTGCACAAAAACCGTCGGGGAGTTCAGGTATTTCGAGCACAAGCCACCCGTTCTCCTTGCCCAGCCCTAGCTTGCTGTGATCCCAACTCTGACGTTCCGGTTCGTTTGGCCTCGCTGCGCTGACGGGGCTCTTGCTGAGGGCAGGCCGGGGCGACAGACATTAAGAGTGGGGGGGTGAGGAGTTTGGTCAGATATCAAGGATCGGGGGGATACTCGCTAACCGAGCAGGACTCTGGCAAAAACGGGACTTGCGAGGCTACCGCCTAGGGAGGCCCTGTCAAAAGGGGGCTCGGAGGGGCTGGCCGGAGTTTGGGTGTCACCGGTTCGTCGGTGATCATTAATCATAAACAAGAAGCTGCTGTGAAATCTTTATCACTCAGTCTTCTTTTACTTTCTCAGTAAATAATCTCAAGATGGTCTCATTTTCCAAGAGGGAAAACAGATGGGAACCCCGTAACAGGACTTGAACTGTACTGGTTTTGGACTAATGACCGTACAGCATCTGCTGTGGACACGGGAGAAGGTTCCCGAAGTCAGCTGGGGCAGAGGCGCATCTGGACGGTAGTGAAGGAGGATTGATAACATGGCCACACTTAGGCTAACAGCCTGCTTGTTCTTATGCTCGCCCTTAGAAAGGTCAACAGACCTGACCAACAGGTTGCTCCCCACAGCTCCAGGCCCACTGGTAAAACTAACGCTATTGGCCTTACTGTTTGCACTTTATTCCAGTAATTGAAAGTAATCATCATGCTTGGTCTCTGAGTCATTCTCCAAGGAGGAGTTCACAGGACTATAACCTTACAAAATAGCCTGAATTACTAAGAAGACCACGCTTTGGGTGCTTATAAAATAAAGAGATGGAAAGAGTGACAACCACTAGCGTCCGCAGAATCAGTCGCCTGGAGGCATCGTGACGCCATTCTAAGTCTTCTGAAGAGAAAATGATTCTGTTGACTGTTATCGAAGCTTTATTGTTTGAGCCATAGCTATGTAACCACCCCACCCCATCCCCAAGGGGGGTTCACAGTTTTGAAGGCACTAGCCTGCTGGGAGTCCCCTTTGCCTGGCACAGTAATAAAGCTGCCTCTTTTCTTCTAAGCTCCAAGACCTTGTCTCTGGGTTATTCGGCTCGTCAGGGATGGGGGCTGATCTTTCAGCAACAGTACTGACCCACCAGTGCTGGTTTTGGACCTGACGGTGCCAGGCACTTGCCCCTGTTCAAAAACCCATCAGGCATTTCCAACGACCCAGAGAAGTTCAACTACACAAGAGGCCAGGGCTACATGTGGCCAAGTCTGAAGACTATTTCAATCCACAGTGTTAGCACATCTGCTCCCTGTTCTGTCTGTCACCTCATGTTATTCACAGCAGCTGTAGGACATTTCTACATTAAGGTGGCAGCATCCTTTTTCACTGGGACATGGATTTGTGTGAGGTGAGAAGGCTGTGTTCACGAAAAATGTGGCAAAAAACAGTGGTGGTGTTTTCCCCTCAAACTGCACTGTTTATCCGAAAGCTATTTATGACAAAGGCTTAAAACCCAATTGGAATGGGATGGGGTTATATAAACACTTCCTTTGCACCTATACAAATCCCTGGGGCTGAAACTAAACTCTAAGAAAATTCTATTTTAGTACATGTGCTGCCGAAGCGAGCACTAAGAAAATTCAATAATGACAAAAGAGGAATGAATGTTAAGAACTGCCTGGTTTGGTGATTCCACATCCTAGCTGCCTCTGGGTCACCTGGGGAGCTTGCCTGGGTCTTGCCCCCTGAGATTCTGATTCAATTGATCCCAGGAGAGAGAGGGAAGACTACTCTGAGCTTTTAAGAGAAAACACTTATTCATAATCTCCCCAGGTGACTTAAATGTCTAACCAGGGTTGAGATCATTGATCTATTCCAGACTCTTTACTTTATGGGTGAGAAAACTGAGGTCCAGAGAGAGGGAGTAACTCGTGTAAGGCCACATAGCTAGTTAGTGACAAAGCCAAAAAATAAAACAGGCATTATGCATTACTGCAGGTTTTAAGAGGCTTACTTAACTTCACCTGGTAACCCCAGATGGCACCCATTGTTCACTTCCGGTCTTAGAAACCAAGGAACAAAAATCTACACACTTCTGACTAGTGTTCATCTGAATTCACTCATGATCTGGATGTGCTGATTATAAGAATACGAAGTTGACCAAGAGTAAATGGAAAAAAGTTATACTTCAACCCTTGGGTTTAAAAGTTTCTAATTATTTATCTCTAGGTTGCATGCATCATATGCACCACATCAAACAGATATCATCGCAATATCATTATCTGAAGATAATCAATATTGGGAAGAGTCACTAAAGAATAAAACAAGGACTAAATTTTTGTAGTAAATAGTGAAAAAGGTTGACTGGGACTTTATCTTGAAAAATGAAAGTATACCTTTTATTTATAATTGCTGTGACAAACTACCTCTTAGAATGAACAAAGAAGGAAGTAAATGTTGACGGCTTTCCTTGGCATTATTTTCCCACAACAACCAACCACATCCTTCACTTCCCATCTGGCTTTCAAAAAATGATCTTAAAGAGAAGCACATTAGCAAAAACATTTCAGAGCTTCACGAATTTTCCCACGGGTTTCTCTTAATCCTTTGTTATTCAGACACTTCTCTTCAAGCAGCGTTTCTGTGTTCTTAGTTGTTTCCTGTTCTTCGCTGGGTACCACCTGTTCTCCAGCCTCACTTCACGCACTTCATCAAAATCCTCCATCCTTTGAAAACTTGACAATATCACTTTACAAGCAATTTGCATGTGCTTGCCTCACATGTGCACATTTCCATATAGAATTACAGTGTGAGAGAGACTGATGAAGACATAGCTAGAATCATCAGGGATGGCTATGCCAACAGCAAGTAGGAGGGACGTTTGAATGGGGACTGATTTTATAAGTGGTCAGTTCTTTAATGATTACTTCCTGACAGCACAAGGCTTCTCCGCACATTCATCTAGAACTCTGGAGACTTGGGTAATGATTGCGTAGCGAGGGAGCACACCCTACACTGGAAGGCAATCCCCGGGGATCAACGCAGCGTCTATGGAAATGAGCCTGTCATCTCTGCAGACAGGAAAGGCAGGCTTTGCAACTCACCCACCATGGTAGCTACTCTCTGCCTAGAACACCTCTCTTCCTTTTTATGGTGAGAGATCTCACCCCGCTGATTACAGTGGGCAGACACGTGCCCTGTGCTTTGAGGTTGGTAACGGGGTCTTCCTTCCCTCGTAAGTGAAATTCTCGTTTCTAGACCAGTTGTTTCTCAGCTCGTGTCCAGCAGCATGGTCCACCCAGACCAGGTGCAGCCCTAGCTCCTTGGAAGCCGAGATTGGGGATCCTAGCTCTGAAGGTAGGAAGGTGACGTTGGCAGCATTTCCTCTGCCTTAAAGGCTGCATGCCTAGGATGACGTCTCACTCAGATCTGCTGACTGGTTGGTCCGGCAGCTGCCGCTGTCTGACCCTCAGTGGTCTCCTCGTCCTATGCTGTTACCACCAGAGGTCGAGCTGCAGGCTTCCCAAGGAAAAGGAGGTGGGAGGGTGTCTTCTTGAGGACAGAAGAGAAAGGCTCAAATACTCAAGCTTCCTGGCTGTATGTTAAAGGGACAAAGCAAAGACATCGTGGCCCCCCATCCCCTGTTCAGAATGAACCAAGGCTTCAATAGCTCTGCTGTTCACAAGGGGTTTTATAGGAAAACAATTTATACTGAAGTGCAGACGTGGACCTGAGGCAGGGTCTGCTTGGTGACATGATGGGTCAGAAATTGACTTTTAATTAATCCAGAGCCCAAGTGAACATTCTGTGTGTGATGGGGGAGGGAGGGGAAGGCATGGCATGCGGACAGTCTCCAAAGTCAGGCACGGTGGTGCAGGGGGTGAGGATTTAAGCCCCGCCCTCCCCATGAGATCAGCAGAGGCAAGCTACTTCTCCCTGGTGGGTCCTTGTGCCGGGCAGTGGTACCATCATCTGGTTAGCCCTTGGGGATCTGGAAACCCGCACTTCTGTATGTGTGGTCTTTGCCTTATATCACAGTCTCCATTCAAGTTTTTATCCTGTGCCATTAAATTAACTTTATAACTTCTAACTATGTATCTTTCCATCCATCACATTGCCGGCCCTTTGTGACACCCAGGCAGAGAGGTTTAGACCACAGTTATGAGAAGACTCATCTGTTTCAGAGTGTCAGATCTGAGTTCAGGGATCCTAGCAGGAGAACCCCTTCATTCTGGCTCTGTTGGCCACAGTGCTGTACATGACTACCTGCAGGTAGCTCATTAGAGATTCGAGGTTATGACAATGTGAAATCCAATGTTATAATACAGTTACTTAATACCGGCACTGCTTTCAAAAGTTCTTTCTCAGCTTGGAGATTTTCCAAAGGTTCTGAGTCCAATTTTCCATTTTGACATGTTAAAAATTATCGTGGGTAAATTGTTCTACAGCTAGTTTTGGGTCTGATGCCAATGCAATTTCCTGTGAATTAAACAAAATTGCTCCTTATAGAATTGAAGGCATTGATATTTTATCTGGGGGGAAAAAAGACCTAGAAATTATTCCTTCCAACCTGGGTTGTATGGAAAGTGTACTATTGGCAAGGTGACCCCAGTTATCTTGATCCATAAAAACAGCATCCAATCCATTTCTACCAGCAATATTTCAATTCCATGGAGCAGTCTTCCCCATGCATGGAGCCTTCAGAGCCCTGGGAGAAATTCAAAAGCTATTCCTTTCTCTCGAGGCTGCATCAGCCAACTGCCTACCAGACAGACTCGTATACCTAGGACTCGTATTGAAGGAACCTGTTAGCAGCATAAATGGCCACCTTGGGAGGGTATGTGCCCTAATAGGCTAGGGATAGTGTGTAAGTGTCCCAGATAATTCAGTCGTTATTAACTAGGACACAAAAACAGGCTGAAGATGAACCAGCCTGCCTCCTAGAGACTCACGCCCCAAGAGACTTCCTCTGGTGCTCCGACTGACCGCTGGGGTTTGAGAAGCACGTGGAGGTGGGGGGGCTCACCCACCACTGAGTTGCTGGTAGAATGTTGCTGGGGCTTCACCTCTTTCTCCCATCTTCTTAAAAAAAAACAAAAGATTTACCTTGCTGAGCATTAAGGCAGAATATGCTACTACACATGGAAATGGAATTCCGAAGTGAGCTAGAGGAAGGGAAAGGTTGAAATCCCTCAAGTTCAGAGACGGGAGTGAGTGGAGTCAGAAACGTTACCCAGCACTAGGTGGCCGGTGGGCCCCCAAAGCAGGCATCTGCCATTGAAAACGAACCCTTGGAAGAGCCAAATAACAACTGAACAAAAAAGTCCTCCTGGAGATTCGGTTAGATCACAAGACAGACTTTTGGGAACTACAATGAAATACTTTTCAAATTTAGAAATTCAAATCTGAGGAAAACAAAAATGCTACTTTGAAAAGATAGATGCACCCCATGTTCACAGTAGCGTTATTTACAACAGCCAAGGTGTGGAAGCAACCTAAGTGCCCACTGAGAGATGAATGGATAAAAAGATGTGGTGTATATGTAACAGAATGTTAGCCATAAAGAAGAACGAAATCATGCAACTTGCCCATTTGCGACAACATGGATGGGCCTAGGGTATTAAGTTAAGTGAAATAAATCAGACAGAGAAAGACAAATACTGTATGTCTTCACTTATATGTGGAATCTAAAAAACAAAACAAATGAACAAATACAATGAAACAGAAATAAGGTCATAGATACAGAAAACAAATAGGCCAGAGGGGAGAAGATTTGGGGCAGGAGAGCAATAGGAGGGGGTTAAGAGGTACAAACTTCCAGTTACAAAATAATTGAGTCACAGATATGAAATGTGCAATGTGGGGAATACAGTCAGTAATTATGTAATATCTTTGTAAAGCGACAGGTGGTAATTAGACTTACCATCGTGATCATTTTGAAATATACAGAAATATTGAATCACTAGTCTGTGTACCAAGAATTAACATAGGGTTGTAGGTCAATTATACTTCAAACAAACAACAAACAAACACACACACACAAAGAAAAAGAGATCAGATTTGTGGCTACCAGAGGTAGCGGGTATGTGTGGTGGTCGTGGCCGGGGGAACTGGATGAAGACAGTCAAAAGATACAAA